CCCCCCAAAGCCTCATGCGGCCATGGGGCAGGCTTTTAGAGTTTGATTATGGGTGTGAGAGCTGCACCCACCCTGGGGTGGATAGTTTGCATATGTAAGGGAAAGGAAAAGAGTGCTTGAGGCCATTCCTCCCCCATTCTGCCCTGGTGTGTGTGGTTGCTTTGCTGTGTTCTGTCACCATCAGCTGTAGCCCTCTGCCATGTGCCACTCTGCCTTATAATCTGCCAAGTATGGACTGAAACCTCCACAAACTGTAAGCTAAATAAACCTTTCCTTCCTTAATTTTGGGCATCAGGTATTCTGTCCCAGCAACGAGAAAAAAGTAACCAAGACACCTGTGCATTTCTCCGGATGGACAGATGCATACCCACATGCAAAAGTCACCATCAGGAGCCAGGCATGGTGGTGCACAGCTATAATCCCTGCACTCTGACAGGCTGAGGCAGGAAGATTGCAAATTAAAGCTCAGCTTGGGCAACTTAGTGATTTAGCAAGATCCTGTCTCAAAACAAAAACTGAAAAAGGGGCTTGGGATGTAGCCCAGTGTAGCTCTTGGGTTCAGTCCTTACTACTGCAAAACAAAACCACATCAGCAAGGTGCCTCCTACAAGGGTTGCTTATCCTGGTCCATGAACAGCAAAGGGACTTGTGCATTTCAGGACAGACGGTACAGGAAATATGAAAAGCTCCAAAAGCAACGAAAACTATATTTAGGCAGCGTTTTCCTACCCAACTTGGCAAAGCTCAAAATGTTGGATACTGACATGAGGTGTAGAGGAGTAGGAGGAGTGTCAAGAAATAAGTTCTTTCCCATGTTGCTGGTAGGAGTCTCAGCTGAAACAATGGCATGGAAGGCAGTTTGGCAGTAGCTAGCTAAATCCCGAACACATTTCCATTTCTAGCCATTGGTCCTATTCACATGTGTGAATGTCATCTTGGAACAATTATTAGAAGACTGGAAAAAAATATGTCAAATACCCATAAGATGGAACTTGTGAAATAAATTAGGAAAATCCATACACCGAAATATTGTGCAGTGGTAAAAAGACAGAAGTCTGAGGAGCCCCACTCAAGATCAGGACCCCCTTTGTTTACCGCTTGGGTGGCCCTCCAGCCATCGGCAATGGCTTGCTCTAGCTCTTCCCAGGTGACCATGGTCACTTCTTCTCCACCAGGAAGAAAATTCAGTTTCTGGCTCACGTAGTCCTGACAATAAAAGACAACACATACGCAGCTAATTCTTTGTCCCATGTGGGACTCCAAGAAAGACCTGGGCAGAGATAGAAAGGATTTCACCCTCCGTGCTGGGGCAGTGGGCATGCAGAGAGGAGGCTGGGACAAGCCACAGTGAGAAGCCAGGCTGGGGACTCCCCACCCCTGCGCTCGGGAGGGCCCTCCCCCAGTGCAGGCTGACACCCCGTTACCAGGAAATCATCTCGCTCTTTGACTAGCTTCTCGAGCTCTTCCATGCGCCCTTCCATGCGCCGCAAAACTTCCTGGAAACTCTGGAAGCAGAGTTCAGAGATGAGCATCATGCAGCCCAATTGGGGCCCCTCTACACACACACACACACACACACACACACACACACACACACACATACACACACTGGACTGGCGGGAACAGGAAAGGGGGCATGTGTGCGGCTCTTAGAGAAAGAGAGGGTTTCTCATTTCTACTTGGTTTTACCTGGCCTGCGGTAAAGTTAGACTCCCAGTTCTTTTCCCAGCCAACAAGAGGAGGGAAGTGGGGTGTTGTGGGATAACACGGGGTGGGGGGTGGGGGGAGGCAGCGTGCCAAAGGTCAGTGCTAACGCAGGCCTGAGAACTGCTGGACTGGGGTTCATTTCACACTACCCCTACCCAAAGCTGCCAGCACTGTTGCATGGGGCCCACTCTGCCTGCCGAGGAGCCAGTACCACGGACTTCTCCAGGGTTGTGCCATTTAAGGAGTAAAGCCCTCAAGAGAACCCAAGCAAGTTGCTAAAATTTATTGTTCTTTATAGCTTGTGCCAGCCTCTAAAATCTAGATTACAAACAAAACAAACTGAAACAAACCCTCCACATTTTTTTTTGGGGGGGGGGTTCTCTTTGAGGCAGTGTTTCACTATACAGTTCAGGCTGTCTGTGAACTCACTTTGTAGCCCAGGCTGGCCTCGAACACACAGCGATCCTCCTGCCTCAGCCTCCTGAGTGCTGGGATTGTAAGTGTGTGCCACCAAACCTGGTCCCCCTCCACCCTTTAAAGTTGAAAAGATAAAGGGATATACTTCCCAGAGCAAAGAGGAGGGGGACTGAGATCACAAAGCCTGGGGTGGCCTGGGATGGGGTCAGGGCCAAGAGCCCTAGGGCCTTTCTGTGCCCCTGTTCCTCTTCTCAGCTTGCCTCTGACTTTCTCCCTAATTGCGCCTTCTTTTCCCTCTGCTTTGAAATGTGAGCATGTGTCTATCACTACCTCCCATGGACTCGCTTTGTTTCCTATACTCTTTAGCACTTATGCTCAGCCATTTGCGGGGACTCTTCCCCCACGAAACCCAGAGGAGAGCCTGTCCCCTGCCTGCCATATCCTATGTCCATCACCTTAGGGCAGTGGTGTCCAATTCTGCGCCCCAACCCCCTCCAAGGACAGGGCTTTGGCTTTCAAAGACCACTACCTGATTTTATTTTTATTTTGAGTGGTACTGGGGATTGAACCTATGGACTCATGCCTGCTCAGCAAGTTAGCCCTTTTTTTCCTTAATTCTGAGACAAGGTCTCACTAAACTGTACAGGGATGGTCTTGAACTTGTGATCTTCCTTACTCAGCCTCCAGAGTAGATAGGATTACAGACATGAGCCACCATACTTGGCCTCTTAATTCTTTTTCTTTCTTTCTTTCTTTTCTTTTTTTTTTTTGTGGTATTGGGAATTGAACTCATGGTCTTTGTACTGAGCTCTATCCCCATGCCAGGATGGAACCCCAGAGCAGGGGGATCACAGGCATGTACCACCATGTGCACAGTTCCCCAGCCTTCCTCCTTCCCTTTCTCTTCCTCTTCCTCTCCTCCTGCCCCCTCCCCCTCCTTCCTTTTCTTCTTTTCTTGTGAAGATTGAACCCAGGACCTTTACCCTGAGCCACAGTTCTAATTTTTTCTATTTTTTATTTTATTTTTATTTTTTATTTTTTGGTACCAGGAATCAAACTCAGGACCTTGTGCTTGCCAGCCAGGCGCTTGTGCCACCGAGTTATATCCCTGGCCCTTTACTTTTTATTTTAGGACAGAGTTTTACTAAATTGCCCAGGCTCAGCTCGAGCTTACAATCCTCCTGTTTTAGCCTCTCAAAGTCTAGGTTTACTTCTTAACTCATTTAAATTAAATTAATTAATTAATTTTTTAATTTATTGAGACAGGGTCTCACTATGTAGTTCAGGTTGACCAAGACTCACTATGTAGCCCAGAATGGCCTTAAATTTGCAGCGATTCTCCTGCCTCAGCCTTCTGAGTGCTGGGATTACAAGCATATGCCACTATGCAGTGTTTAATTCTTTTTAAAGGGCAGTTCACTCTAAGAACATTCTGAGGTTGGCCGGCTCATCTGAGTTAGCTCAGGTTCTTGGGTGTCTGGTAAGTGGTAGGGGAGCCCTGGAAAAGGAGTAAGGGTGGAGGGGTGGAGGGTGAAGGGCCACCTTACTCCAGAGATGGGTCCCTGGGCACCTTCACCTGTGGTTTCAACGCCTGTGCTTTTGGGCGTGCTTCTTTCAAACTTTTTGCATCTTCCACAGCATCCTGGAGCAGGTCCGAGGGCTGCAAGGCAGAGCAAGGCTGCAGGGAACCAGGCTCAGGAGGCTGGGGCTGAGCCCCCCAGGCCACTCTGCACAGCTCAAGGCTCAGCTCCAGCCAGGACTGGAGGGACAGAGGGCCTGCCAGTCTCCCTGCTCATACCTTCCTTACGTCCTCCTGGACCTTCATCGACCTTATCCGAGCCTCCTCCGTGTCTGGCATGTCCTTTACCTCCAGCACCGTGGGGGCCTCGAAGTCCATGGTCTGCGAGGTGATTTGCTGCACGTGGGTAACGATGACCTGCACCTGGCTGTCCACGGCCTGGAGCTGCTTGGTGAGGTCCTGCACCTGGTCGCCCAGGTCCTTCACCTGGCTCTCCAGGATCTGGGAGGATGATCTCCCAATCTTGCGCTTCTCTTTGCTCGGGTGTAACTGTGGTGTGCTAAGAGTGCTGCGCGAAGTTCGGAGGGGCTCAATTGAGCGGAGGGACTCGATTGAGCGGCCTCCCTCGGGCGACAGGGACTGGAAGTCGATGAGTGTCTCTTGGAGGTTGAGATTCTTGAGGATGGCCACAATGAGAGTATGCAGGGCCGTGAAGTTGACGGCGCCCACCTCTGGGGTGCCAATGGCCAGGTCAGCGAGCTCCCTAAGGGAGACCCTGCTGACCGGCGTGGCAGGCGGCATCGCGACCTCTGTGGGGAGAGGTGCACGCCCCCAGGTACGCGGGCGACCAACACCCCCTCACTCCTCCTCGTGCTTCTGGGGCTTTTTGAGGACCCTGCGAGGTCCGCGGGGCGCCCCTGCCCCGCCCCTAGCTGAGCAGGGCTACAATCACGGGACTGAGCCAGGCACCGCAAACCCTGGCCTCTTGGAATCAGTGCCCTGCACCCCTGCGGGGTCCACGGGGCCTCCCCGTGGGTCTCCGCCCTCCTGGCACCAACTCACAGCCGCAGAACGTTTGGGACCGGGTGTTCCACGCCCGGATTCTGTGTGAGAATGTGGCTCCACCTAGAAGTTCCACTGAGAACTTCCCTGCGGGAGAACAAAGGCCACAGCTGGCGAGGGCCTCCCTTGAAACTCAGCCTAGGGGTCTCAGGAAGCCTTGACCACACACCTCAAAGCACCACTAAATTTTGTTCAGAAAACACTCCCAAAGGTGGTGTGGGTGTTTGCATGCAGAGCACGTCAGCCTGTGGGGCGGTAGCGGTAGCCTCTTAAGGTTCAGCTGGATTCTGTGCAACCCCTTCGCCCAGGAGGGCCCACAGCCACTCACTCCTGAGGGGCCACTACAGCAAGATTTAAGGGGTACCATGGCCACCAGCCTTGTACCATGGGCTCCACTGTTATCCCACAGGGCAGGGTCATGTATCTGAGGGAAGCAGGCCTGGGGACAGTTTCCATACCATGTTTAGTCAAGTCAGGCAACTTGGAAAAGATGACCCATGATGCAGGTGGCTCCAATCAGCTGCCAGAGGACAGACCCTCTGGTGATGCCCTAACCCCGTGTCCCGTGGGCTGAGCGCCACTGTCATAGCTCATTTCCAAGCAGAACTAGATGCCCAGTGCTCTGGACTTTCCCATAATAGATCTCAGCAGAAAACATGTAAATAAAACTTAACGAGTGCTTACATGAGGTTAAACTACTCAAAGGAATCCATGATTGCATCTGTAACATGTATTATTTTAACTACTTCACCAACTCAGATTTGTAGTTTGGTCCAGGTTGGTACTGTTTTTAATCAAGGGATTTTTTTTCACCATTATATTTCTGATACCTGATGACCTTAGGTGGTGATCGTATGGAAAGAACAACTTCATCATCTTCTGTGCATTTGTGCTCCTACCCTAAACCCAGGGCAGATGACAGTTTGAGCCTTAAGATCAAGCAGTGCAGTCTATGGTGCACTGCTGGGCGAGGAAGTACACTTGCTCAATTCTGAGTTTTGTAACTGCTCTGGCTTGTCTAGATGTCCCCCCAAAGCCTCATGCAGTCACAGATAGGGCTTTTCAGAGGTGGCTGCATCTCTCGTGTGTGACACTGGGATTGATTCATGGTGCAATGCTCGCATCAAGGGCACTAAAATTAAGGGTGTGAGCGCTACCCACCCTAAGTAGCCTGGATGGAATATAAGGGATAGAAAGAGTTGTGTTCAACCCTTATTTTGCTACTTTCTGCCTGCCATGGACTGTTTCTCCTTTGTGACGTGCCTCTGCCATGCCACCCTGCCTTGGAGCCAGCCAACTGTGGCCTGATACTTCTACAAACTGTGAGCTTAAATACACTTTTCTTCCTTTAACTTTGGGTGTCAGGTATTTTGTCTTAGTAACAAGGAAAGCAAGACAATAATTTCCCAAAGGATGTCTGCAGACACAATTACTTTACCAGGTATGTCCAGAATGTCAGGTCTCTGAATCTCACACATTCATTTTTACATCCCTGAGGCTTAGTATCTTTTTCAATTTTTTTGTTGCCTGGGATGGAAAATGAAGCCTTGAGACAGGCATAGTGGTGCATGCCTGCAATGTATTTTAAACAGGGGAGGGTGAGGCAGGAGGATCTCTTTGCATTCAAGGCCAGCCTGAACTACAAATCCAGAACCTGTCTAAAGAAAAAAAAAAAAGGGAGAGAGAGAAAAGGAGACCTTGTGCACCAGGCAAGGGTTCTACCACTGAGCTATATAAGAGTTACGTAAATACCCTGTCAGACACATTAGGACTAAGTACCATGAGAAAAGACAGCATTTTCTTTTGCTTTTTTTTTTGTCTTTTTGAGACAGGGTCTCGCTATACAATTCAGGCTGGCCTTAAGCTCACTTTGTAGCCCAGGCTGGTCTCAAACTTACAACAATCCTCTTGCCTCAGCCTCCCGAGAGCTGGGTTACAGGTATGAGCCACCGCGCCTGGGAAGACAGCATTTTCTAATTCCAATAACTACTACTGTCTATTCAACTATTTTTTCTTAGTAAGTACATTTTAAAATTACTATCTTGAAGCTGGGTGTGGTGGTGCACCTATAATCCCTGCACTTGTGAGGCTGAGGCAGGAAGGAGGATGGCTTCCAGTTCAAGCCCAGACTGGACTACATACCAAGACCCTGTCTGAAAAATAAAATAATTCTATTTCTCAGGAGCTAACAGAGCCAGTAAGCAAGTCCAGTTAATTCCCCAGCAGCTATCCTTCCTTTGACAACACTCCTGACTTGGAGGGGCTCAAAAGTAGAAAAAGCCCTTCCATGTTTGTGGTTTCCTGACAAAGGTGTGTGAACTAGAACTGCAATGATGTGATTCAGAACGGTGGGTAGAAGGGCCAAGTGCAGTCCTAAGTAATGCAATAAATGCAGCACCATCTATTACAAAGACAAATGACAGTTAGTTCTATTTTTTTCCTTTTAATTTGGATGTTAACAAGGATCTACTTTAGTAAAGGAAGGGGACAAAATCTGCAGAAGCTTTGTGTCAGGAGTCTGTATCTACCATGGACCTTGGCAACCCTTTTTGTGCCCACTACCTTTTGCATAGTGTGGACAGAAGTTAGTCCATCTGCCCAGCAGGGACTCTGCAGTGTAGCAGAGACTAGGGAGACAACAAATTCCTTTATTTGCAACTTGAGAGTGATGCAGATACCCGGGGATGGCCTGCAGCGTGATAACCCCGAGAGGAGCAAAAACATAAATGCTTTGCTGTTCCATGGCAGTAGGCTTGGCAGTTTCTGAAAGAAAAATAGGATTTGCTACAAAAAACTTGTATGAACTTAACTAGGCAGAGGACAAGTGGACAGAAATAGTGGCAGGTCACGCAGCTCCCCAACCAAGTTCAGTGTCACACCTGCATTCTCCGCAGGTGAAACAAATGAACGAACAGCACAGAGTTAACGCTTTATCTGCTTTTACTCCTCTTCAATGTGACAATTTTCAGATGCTTTTCAGAAGGGTGTCTGTAATTTCTGCAAGGAACAAGGCTGGTGATGGTAGACATTAAGGCCATTTTGTTTATCACTAGCTTGGTCTTCTTTATGATCTGAATGCCCCCTCTCCTCAAGCTTCGCGAGAAGGATACCCAGCTTCACACTGTTTCCATTCTTTCCCTGCAAAGAAACGCCGTGCGTGTGACTGGTGGCACTGCTTTGTACATGCTTCGCTCTTTCAGAGTGCTAGAGTGCAAGCAACTTAGTCATCCACTGTGATGTTTCGGAAAAGGTAAGCCATGGACTCTCCATTGTGGATTCTCCGGATTGCTTCAGAAAGAATCAAACTGATATCCACAGTCTTTATCTTGGGACACTGCAGCTTCTGGATCTCATGAGGGACAGTATTCGTCACCACGACCTAGTCATATAGCAAAAGAACATAAACTGCTATTAATGTATGCCATAAATTGGCTACTCAGAATACCACACCTAGCATTTGTACCCACAGACCAAGTTCTAAACTGTAAAACTTTGTTCCATTTAGTACAGTTTTATTAATGATACTGAATTTACACAGGAGAAAGGTTACATGGTCAAGAGCACAAGTTCTAGAAATGTCATGGTCTACATAAAAAAAAATATAGTGAATGCCAGCACTTGCAAAGTTTTCCTATTATCAGGAAAGAATTCAAGTCTCTTATGCTACTCTAGTGCCAAATCAAAGGACTGAAAAATCATTATATATATCTAGCCTGGACTTGGACTTATGACTGGCTCAGAGTGCTGGGATTACAGGTGTGCATCACAATGGCTAAGCAACTTAACAGTAAGTCACTTTATTATTCATAAAAGCCACCACAACCAATTTTTACTCAGACCCAATGTTCCAGCCCTGCAGGAGACAGACCTCATCAATGGAGGACTCCTCGATCAGGCGGGGGGCCTCAGCAGACAGGATGCCGTGAGTAGCCATAACATAGATCTTGTAAGCACCCCTCTCTTTTAGGATCTCTGCAGCAGCAACAAAACTCTCGACATCATCAATAATGTCATCCTGCAAGAAGACAATCAGTATTAAGGAAGCAGCCTCTACCCCACTCTATGGAGACACTTTCTACTTTGCCGCACTGTTTCGGAGGGTTTCTGATGGGGAGTCTGAGCACATGCCTACGTCAAAGACTGAACATCCAGAGACGGCAAGAGAAGAGCCTCAACGGTACCTTGTGCATTTGGTAGGAAGAGTGGTAAAGCCTCCCAGTCACACGTGTGTGACATGACAGCTTGAGCAGAAGACTGCCAAGACTTGTTTCCTTCTTTCAAATTCCTGATCCATCCCACAGAGACAGGGTCCCATTTATTTTTTTCCAAGAGAAAGAGGCATGAGAGGAAAATAGAAGTACAGTGAGCTACTGTAAATGACCAGCGACCCTCTAGCCAGCAAAGGCGTTTGGAGCTGGGTGCCAATATGTCAAAATCCAAAGTGAGGCTGCACTGGGACACCTGTTCTCACTGGTGACAATGGAACAGCTAGCTCATCTCATGGCCCTAAAGTTGAAGAAGGACTAGGCAAGCTGGTCTGAGGGAACCCACAACCTATACATGATGGTTATGTTGTTGAATCTCCCCCGGGGGTATGGTGGTCTTTTTAGATTTGTAGTTATACTTTCATCCTTATTCATTTAAATATAAGTTTTTGCTACTTATCCTAAAAGAGTTTTGGTGAGAAAGGGTAGATGATGGATCCACTGAAGTCTATCATTACTGGAAACACAATCCAAAGGCAGACAACTGAGAACCAGCGGCATCTTCTCTGTGCAGAAAGGGCAACAACGCATCATCATACCACTATGATTGCGATGCGTCCTCCCACATCTCCAACTACGGTTATTGGTGGCTTCTCTTTGGCCATCATCACTAGCAAGATAAAACAAATCATAAGACCTCAGTTAGTCACATGGCACTAGATGAACAGGATCACAACCTCATTCCCTAAAGCGGTGGCAAAGCCACAGCACAGAACAACAAGGCATGCAGATTCCTCCCCTGTGAACCCAAGGTCTCTTGGAACAGAGCTGCCAAGAGCAGTGTTGACTCACAGAAGTAGAAGGCAAGCCATCTACAAAGGGTAGTCAAAAAATGCAGTGAATGTTAAAAAATTACAGTAAGATACATTGCCGAGAACAATGAGATAAGTGTTGAAAGTGAAGGGGAGTATTTTGAGGACTAAGAGGAATGTATCTTCTATTATAATAAATGTTTTAATTTAAAGATTCACTATATATATATTTTTTGTTTTTTAAATTTTTTTTTTTTTTTAGACAGGATTTCTCTATGTAGCTCAGGCTGGCCATGAACTCACAGCAATTCTCCTGCCTCAGTCTTCCAAAGTGCTGGGAATGGGCCAGGGATATAGCTCAGTGGCACAGCACCTGCCTAGCAAGTATAATGTCCTGAGTTTGATTCCTGGTACCAAAAAAAAAAAAAGCTGCTTTCCAAGTGTTGGGATTATAGGCATCCACCACCATGACGCCCCACCTATGCACTGTATATCATCATGCTTCATACGTAACTAACTTTAAACGTTCTAGTAGCTATACTATAAAGTGAAAACAGGTGAACTGGATAGATTTTACTCAATATATCCAAAACTTTACCATTTCAACATATAACCAATATATGTACTTATATTTTTACATGCTAGTCTTCAGTTTGAGGTGAATTTTAAACATCCAGCTCTCCTCAGTTGAGACCAGCCACATTTCAAGAGCTCAGCAGCTATGAATGACTAATGGCCACCAGAGAACACAGCACAGGGAGAAGGACAGAGGAGCAGAGGATGGATAATTTCACAACACACAGAAGAAGCAGCTGACAGCACTCAGAACAGAGGCCAACTCTCACTGGGCTGAAGAGGAAATGTGGACTAAAAACCCAACAGGGAAAGGCGGCCCCGTCAAGAGGCAGCTCACTTCACCTTCCTTCTGAGAAGCCAGACTCTGAGAGTGTAACCTTTTGGTCAGATGACTGCAGTACTCACACAGTTGGGCTCCTGAAACCAGGAACCTCAAGACAGTAACTACAAGTCCACCATCTTTTCCTCATTTAACTGGTCCTTAAAGGAAGGGGAAGTAAACAGAATTTAAGCTGTGTTATGTCCATGTACCAATTCCCCATGATGAACGTAGTAATTGTGTACTACAAACATGTACTAATAGAAATAAAAATTTAAAAAGTAGAGGCTTCTTATCTCACTGCAAAATCTGCATATGGAAGAGGTCACGAGTACACAAAGCAAACTAGAGGACAGAGAAAAAAACTAAGAATTCATCCTTAAAAGGTTAGTGCCAAGTGCAGTGGCATACACCTGTAACCCCGGCTACTTAGGAGGCTAAGGCAGGAAGACTGCAAGCATGAGCCAACCTGGGCAACAAGACCCTATCTCAAAAACAGAGAATAAATAAATAAATAGCTTAGTGATAGAGCGCTTGCCTAGCATGTACAAGGCCCTGGGTTCCATCTCCAGCACCAAAACAATAACAAAGATTAGTAAACTGAGAGTACGAGAATACTTCAGAAGAACAAGCTGAACATTTTACTCTTCAAAAAGCTTCTTATTATTTTGAAATATGTATTAAACTAGTAGTAGGGAAGAGGGAAGAATACCATTCAGGGTAATTACATAATTTAGTGACTTAACAATCAATTCAGCTGATTCTTACCTATAGGCATGTGGTACTGCAAAGCACTAGTATTCCTTTCTACACAGCAGCAAGTTAGCTGCACTAAAAGTCAGCATTATCTGGAATAAATACTGGAATATTTTAATAGACAAGTCCCAGAAATATGGACAATCAAAAAGGTTCTGTATATAAACATCACCTGAAAGAGGTAGAATTAACCCACAAGCATTAGGACCAACTTCCATGGGTTCTATCTTTAAATTATACTTTCTGGGTAGTAGTTATATTGACCTAGCCACTTCTTAAAGAGCTGTGGTCCCTTTTCTTGGTCCTTTTTCTCTAAAAAATAGACAAACACTATAAGTCAATAACCCTCATCAAAGATCAACAGCTCTAGTTTGAGAAAACATCCCCATTTTCATGTTTCTTTTTCTACAGCTCTATCTCTTCCAAAACTATTATTGAGCTGAGAGGAAAACCCGAAGCTTGGCTATAACAGAGGCCTAAAAAGGCTAAAGAGGAAGTTGTTCTCCCCGTGTACTCATTCCTTGTGCATATCTGGCCTTAGGATCTGGATAAAATGAACACAATCTGGTGGCTCCTCAAAACAGAGACAGCCTTTGTTACAGGGTACAGGGAAATAATGAGCACCTCACAAGCCAAAAATGCCAACCATTCCTAATAACTGACCCAGAAAATAAAGCCTTCTAAATTCTAATTTTCTACACAAGTACTGTATGTTTGTGATAAAGGTTGAACACAAAGAGGACTGAAACTACCCTGTGTTTAAGATTCTGCTCTTTATCTCCGCTTTATCAAAATAACAAAAACAAAAACAAAACACCTAAGGGAATCAAGGTTAAGAGTGAAATGAACTGACAATGCTGCTTTCAGGCAGAAGCCGTGGTTAGAGACAACACTGGCTATGTCTGGGTTTGGTGGCTGAGGCAGGACTGCAAGCTCGAACTAACCCTGGGCAACTTAACAACTCAATGAGACCATGTCTCAAAATAAATTATTTTTAAAAATAAGCTGGGAATGCAGCTCAATGTGAAAGCACTTGGTTCAGTCCCCAGTACTGGGGGGAAAAAGGCATTGGCTATGGCTGAAAACATCTTCAACTCATCAAATAACTTTAATGTTTTTATTTAAAAAGTAGGAAGTTGTCTTTTGCTTTTAAAATTGGCATTTTCCGAACAGGATGATGCTGCATTTACAATGTCCTTACATTACAAAGGGCTCAGTCTTGCTTCCACAGTACAGGCCCAAGCGCACACACCCCTTTATCCGTTCCTGGGAGTCAACTGGCCAAACCTTCCTCTGCCAGAACAAATAGCAAAGGAGGACCATGGGGCGTTATTTACTCCTCAGGTCCTCAGACCTTGGTCTGTTTCTAGTTCAAGAGAATGCTCAACCTCACCATGACAGTATGGGAGGAAGGAGTGATCTGGTTCCGGCTCAAACTCCGCCTATGTGCAAACAAGTCAACATTGAACTTCACCGGAGTGCAAGAGGGGCTACTGGCCGTTTTCAACTTAGTAGTGAAACTACTCTTGTAAAAAAAAATTTTTTTTTTTTTGGTCTTTTTGAGACAGGGTTTCGCTGTGCAGTTCAAGATGGCCTTGAGCTCACTTTGTAACCCAGGCTGGTCTCGAACTTGCAATGATCCTCCTGTCTCAGCCTCCCAAGTGCTGGGATTACACATGTGTGCCACCATGCCCAGCTCTACTCTTCTAAAATTAATAAGCCAGGAAAATCAAGCCAGAAAAGGTGATTTACTTTCATTTTCCATGATCCAAACTCTTAATTTCACTACTGTGGCAAATAATGTTTAGTCTGTAGCAAAAGTACTGATCTACGATATGAAATCTTTTTGTTAGTTAGATGGCCTTGCCTGTTGTTAGTGAGGTATGGACTCTGCCTCACAAAACAGAAAACTTTGTTTCTTTCCTTCACTTGTACAATTTCAGTTTTAACAAATCATTTTAAAACAGGGTTCTTTTTTGTGGGGGCAGGGTACCAAATTTCTTTGCTTCAAGGAATTAAAGAACTTCAGTAGGTGTGCTGGTACAATTTATAGAAAAGGTAAAGGTAACCCCAGCATGCACGTGCTGCCTTAGTGACGTTAGCTCTTGTCGCTGTCCCCCAGAGTACGCTTGTCAAAGAGGTACTCTGCCATTCCGGACTCGGGGGCTCCCATCTTGCACAAGGTGATCACATGGTCACCCAGCTCTCTGATGGCCTTCACCTGCTCGTCCAGGTAGTGAGTCTTGATGAAGTCACACAAGTGGGCATCATTCTTATCAGTGGCCAGCTTATGCAGCTCCAGGAGTGACTGATTCACGCTCTTCTCCAAGTGCAAGGCACACTCCATCGCGTTCAGTCCATTCTCCCAGTCGTCATTGTCTTGATACCCTGAAGAAAGATCCGGCCACCGCGCTGGATCTGTAGCTTCATCAGTTTCTCCACATGCTCCCTCTCCTCATGAGATTGGTGAAGAAAGTATTTGGCGAAGTTCTTCAAAGCCACATCATTGCAGTCAAAGTAGTACATGGACAGGTAGATGTAGGAGGCGTAGAGCTCCAGGTTGATCTGGCAGTTGGTGGCGGCCTCCGTGTCCTGGTGGTAGTTCTGGCGCACCCGCGAGGGCGAGGCGGTCGTTATGGCGGTGGCGGGGAGGCTGGGCAGCAGTGGCGGTGGTGTGGGCGCGGTGAGGGCGGACGAGTGCTGGGCTCCGTACAAGCACTGCTGAAGCAGGAGGCCGCAGTGACGTTTGGCCTAAAACAGGGTTCTTAACCTGGGCATTGCTGATGCTTTAGGCTGGAAAACTGTCCCATGGTAGGACATCAACAGTACCTCCTGTCTAGAACCACAAGATGCAAGTATGACTCACCTCTTCCTGGTTGCAGCAACCTATAAACAAATGGCTCCAGACATGGCCAAATATTGTGTGGGGACAAAAAACACTCTTGGGACTGGCATGGTGGCACATGACTGTAATCCCAGCACTTAGGAGGCTGAGGCAGAAGGATTGCTGTGAGTTTGAGGCCAATCTGGGCTACACAGAGAGTTCAAGGACAGTTTGAACTACACAGCAAGAGATCCTGTCTCAAAATACCAAATCACTGCTGGTTGAAAGGTACTGCCCTAAAGAACGAGTTTGAGGAAGGTGTCAGAGCATTACATCTTCCTAAAAAATGCAAACTCCAAAGGTATTTGCTTTTCTTTGGCTTTGTCGTAACATTCTAATATCTTAATAAGTAAACCACTGGAATGTATTTAAAACATATTGGATTATCAGTGTATAATTAATACATAAACTGTATTGAATTTGGAAGGTACCATTACACATACAAGAAGAAGAAATTTCGTGGTTAAGTCCATGAGCTGGGAATCATAGTGAATGACCCTGTGGCAGCTGTCAAAGCACAGCAGAGCATCCCTGAAGGAAGGCACTCTTCTACTAAGGCTCTCGGGACACCAGATGACCAGGAGGGGAATATACTGTCACCAGCTTACCTAGCAAAGCAACATTCTCAGAACAGAGTACCACTGTGTAAGACTTTGTGACAACACAACAGTATCTACCAAAACAACCTCTGACTCAGGCATCCTATTTGTGTTTATTGTGAGCTAGACTCAGGTGCTTATGAAAGGGCTTAAGTCCAGGTAAGATACATATTGTATTGGTTGTAACTGAGCATAAGCACACGAGAGACCAAATCTGGCTTCTAAATGCCATTTTCCACCAAAGGAATCAGAGCTCCCTACAGAAGTGGCTGACTCGGACTAAAAAACTACAATACAGAGTGTCCTGTTACACCAGAAAATAGGAAAGTATCAAGCCAGGACTGGACATGTTAAAAGGACATAGGAGGCAGCTTGACAAGGTTCTCTTTGGCCAAGTATGAGACATTCTGGGCATTAAAATAAATAAATAACAGCAAAGAATTATAACCCACTGAAAAAAAAGAGCGTTCCATGGACCTACATAAATTCATGTAAATGAATAGGGAAGAAAGGAAAGGTTTTTCACACTAGAATGTCAACCAATACATGCACAAGGAATGACAGGATTAGAAAATGACCATACGAAGCTCAGTGCAGTGGTAAACACCTATAGTCTCAGCTGCTCAGGAGGCTGAGGCAGGAAAATTCTTTAAGCCCCCATTCTATTTTTTTGTTTGTTTGTTTTATTTTGTTTTTGTTTTTTTTCTGGTACTGGGGATTGAACTCACGACCTTGCACTTGCTGGGCAGGCGCTGTGCCGCTGAGCTAAGTCCCCAGCCCCTAAGCCCCCATTCTAGACCAACCCAGGCAACAGTGAGACACAGTCTTAAAAAACAAATAATTTTTCAACAATTAGCAATAACTGACTCATCAGATAAGAATTATCAACGAATACTGAGTTTAATGAGAGTCAGGATATTTATAGAGTCTTAACAAGTGACACTGTTAATGACAGGGAGTACAGGGAGACTTTCTAATAGAAAACCTGCCAGACACAGCCTTAACCAAGGGATCAAAATCAACATCACCAGCAATGGACATCTCACGTCTCCTCTAACGTTCCTGCCAGAAATGCATAACCTGAATGTAAGCATGACAACATAAACAAGTCCCAATTAAGGGATAGTCTACAGAACAACTGGCCCTTACTGTCCAAAAGCATCAGAGATGTCAGAGACAAAGAACACAGGAGCCATTCCAGATTAAGTGAGACTAAAGAGAAATGACAGCTAAATGGAATGTGCAGCTCTGGATTAGGGCCTGGCCCAAAGGAAAAAAAAAGGGTTTTTCTTTTCTTTTGTTCTAAATGACATTGGTGAAACCTGAAAAAGGCTGGTGGATTAGAAGATACTATTGTAACCATGTTAGTTTCCTGCATCTGAGAATTTTACTGTGGTTATCAAAGAGCCTTTTGTATTTAGGAAATATACACTGAAGTACTGAGGAACAAGGGGGGATTAAATTTGCAATTCTCAAATGGTGCAAAAAAATTAGTATGTATACATAGTAAATGTTGTGATGATAGTCTTTTTTTTTGGTTTTTCTCTGGTACCGGGAACCGAACTCACGACCTTGCGCTTGCCAGGCAGGCGCTTTTGCCGCTGAGCTAAATCCCCAGCCCCCTACATAGTAAATGTTAAGTGGGGTACTGTAGCAGTGAAATGTATAGTACATCTGTACTCCTCCTTCATTTTTTCTGTAAGTATTAAGTTAGCTCAAAATAAAAAGCTAAAAAACAACAAAGTATGAGCTAGGACCAGGGGCACATGCCTGTACTCCAAAGGCAGAGGCAAGAGGATGATAAGTTTGAGCCCAGTCTGGGTAATTTAGTGAGCCACTGTCCCAAAATAGAAAATAAAAAAGGGTTGGTGATGTAGCTCAGTGTGAGGTTCTGGGTTCAACTCTAAGTATCACAATAAAAAAAAATTGTAGGTGGCTGGGGATATAGCTCAGTGGCACAGCACCGGCCTAGCAAGGGAAAGGTCCTGAGTTCGATTCCTGGTACTAAGTAAGTAAATAAATAAGTAAACTGTAGGTTTTGGAGTCTCACTCCAGACCCTAGCTCTACCAGCTCCTGGCTGTGTAACTGCTTCCTGATCTCCAGAATGAGGGATAATAAAAGCCCTTACATTGAGGGCTGTGGTACCCACAGATGTACTTAGAATAGCTCTTGGCATGTAATATGGGTCCAACAGATACTATTATTGGAGCACTGTTTTCTATAGCCAAAGACTGCAAAAAAACTAAAAACCTATGTCCCCATCAATAGGTAACTGATTAAAATAAATTATGGTAGATCCATATTATGGGATACTATAAAACTGTATTGATTCAGTGTTCTGTTTGTTATGTTTTTTGAGACAGGGTTTTGCTATGGAGCTCAGGCTGGCCTTGAGCTCACTATGTAGTCCAGGCTGGGCTCAAACTTGTGGCAATCTTTCTGCCTCAGTCTCCCAAGTGCTGAGATTACAGGTATGTGCCACCATGCTAGGCTAAAACTGTTAAAAACAAACAAACAAACAAACCAGGAATCTGCCTTACTGAGAGAGAAGGAGTTATGGAATAAAAAGAGCAAGGGGCAGAATGACATGTATAATATACAATCATTTGTGTGGAAGTGACAGAAAAAGATCTGTTTGCTTATGCATGTATAAAGATTCTGAATAGATAAACAGGAAACTAAATGCCTTAGAGATGAGTGGCTAGAACAGAAAGTTTGGGGAGGGTTTGTATTGTAAAGGACTTTATGGTTTTGAATTTTGAAACGTGAATATATTACCTATGAAAGAATTTTAATTATGGAATCCTCAAAAAGCAAATAAAATAGTGATAGCAAAAATTAAAATTAAAAAAAGTGAAGCCAGGCATTGTGGTGCACAATTGTGATCACAGCTACTGGGAAGGCTGAAGCAGAGGATTACAGATTGGATCCCAGCCTGGGCAATTCAGCAACTTAGCAAGATCCTGTCTCAAAAAATAAAAATGGACTGGGAGTACAGCTTTAGTGGGAAGCCCTTAGTTCAATCCTCAGCACCAAAATAAAAAAAATTAAACTTAAAAACTATAGTACTTGTTCCTTATACATACAAATCCCCAAATCTGAAAATGAGGGGCTGGGGATATAGTTCAGTGGTGCAGCACCTGCCTGGCAAGTACAATGTTCTGAGTTTGATCCTGGTACCAAAAACAAACAAAAAAAAATCTGAAAATGAAGCAACAGGAAACTAATAGCATGAGAAAAAAATGAGAATGCTTATTATTTCAGACTGCAGCCAGTCTAAATTAAGCTGTCTGAGGGACAACCATTCTAGTATTTTTTCCCCTTGTTAATCTCCATTTCTGAGGGATTGGTAGATTTTTTGCTTGTTTTTTGTTTTTGAGACAGAATCTTGCTATCTAGTTCAAGCTGGCCTTGAGCTCACTGTAGTCCAGACTGGTCTCGAGCTCACAGTGATCTTCCTGCCTCACCCTCTGGAGTGCTGGGATTACAGGGGTATACCACCATACCTGGCAGTAAATAGATTTTAAAAAGAAATACAGTAATCGCTTTCCTCTGAAAACTTAAAACATACTGTACTTTTCAGTACAGAATCCTTTCTTATACCACTCAAAAGTCTAGGGAAATAAATTACTTCCACATATTTGGATCAGTAACAGTAAGTTAGGAGGGTACTAGGTCAAAGAGCTACATTACTGAAATAAGTGCTAATGGCATCTGATAGCCAAAGCCTAGTAGATGATCAATGGCTGGTACCATCCATCTCATCAGATATACAGGTTTCTGATTTCACATCATACACACAGCTGTTTACTAAAGCTTAAGTGCAACACAGATTAGTTTAACTGTCCTTACAGTCTGCAAACATGTGTAATGTATGTAATCTTTCATAAAAGGGAAAATCAAGGCAATACCATTCAATAATTTAAAGCTACCCATGTGTTAACTCGTAGCCATTCACACTATTTAAAACTTTCTTCAATTTACAAATAAAAGCAGAGCTAATCTTACATGGCAACTCCAGGCCGGGGTGCACAGTGGCATTTTTGACCATCGGGGGAGAATGACGACCATCATCCATGTCCAGCTCAGTGCACTGAGCTTCTCCGTGGATCACAGCCAACCCCAGACGCAGCCTCTCAGCATACGACTGAGCTCTAAGAAGAAGACAAAGAGATATAATGGCACTGTTGGCAAGAACACCCAAGCATCCCTACATAGTATCCCTACATAGTATCACTATTAATCACAAGATGAAAACACCATTCAGCCAGGCATAGTGGCTGTGTAGTTCAGGATGGCCTTGAACTGACTATGCCTGTAATTCCAGCACTCAGGAGGCTGAGGTAGGAGGATAGTTGCAAACTCAAGGCTAGCTTGGGCTACATACTGAGTTTAACACCTGCCTGAACTACATGGCAAGACCCTGTCTCAAAAAGCAAAACCAAAACAAACAACAACAAAAAACCCTCTTCAATCATTTAGGGACACACAAAGAACTTATTTATAGCCAGGCATGGTGGTGCACGCCTGTAATTCCAGTACACAGGACAGTGAGGCAGGAGGATTTTGCAAGTTCAAGACAAGCCTGGGCTACAAAGTGAGCTCAAGGCCAGCCTGAACTGCATAGCAAGACCCTGTCTCAAAAAGACAAAAA